CACACGTGGGGAGGAAACAAAAGTGCTGCAAACTGTTATCACACAGCAGCGGGTTCACGAGGGGATGCGGAGATTTGATATTTGTCACCCAGACAACAGTGCAATTGGAGACAGTGACACTCCACTGGACTCATGGCGTAGTAGCGTACCGTACTATACCGCAGCGCACCATACTGTAGCGTACCGCTGGACTCTATTAGGTCTCTCTTCATGAAGCCCATTGATTAATTGGTTATCTTACGAAAATACGCAGAAAATAAAAAATCCTGCCTGCGGATTCCCGTCACCATCGAACCAGTGGGGTGAAGAGATGGGACTTGATTGGAATGTGGATTTTGGGGCCCTTGCACACTCTTGACAGCCTATGAAAGGTGCTGTGAACCAGTTGGAGATGTCTCGAGACCTCCAGCTCAGTCGGACAGGGCGCAGTGATCAACCTGTTGATCGCTGGACGGCAAAGAGACGGCGGTTTTCTGATCCACTGATGGAAGGAGACTTGGAACCGCTCTTCTTTCATCTCGCACCGCTTCAAACAACAAAGCGGATGTAGGCATGGAGAACGAGATGTTGGCTTGTTATGTTGTATGTGTTGTTATTCATGCTTTCGCTCATGTGTTCTGTCAAGTGCTTTGTGACAGCTGCAGCTGTTGGGCAAGCGCTATCAAGAAAGTTGGACGCAGGATGAATGGCAGTGACGAGTTTGGACGGGATGCAGAACGACATGTTTGGCCTTCCACCGTTGCGACAAGCTCTCTCCATCCCACACGTCGGAGACGGAAGTTTGCCGTCAACATCGTCATTCATTATCATAAGATTAAAAAAATAATAATTTTGTAATAAAAATAAACATTTTTTTCTGTACTGCATAAGTAAATACATGTCCGCCATATTCATGTGCACGTATGTGGTTTGTGCAAAGCATGCTGTCACGTCGCCATTGACAAAGATGATGACGATGATGCTTCTGCCACGCTGGCGTGCCGTCGTCATGCCGACCGCCGGCTTCCGAGGCATCCGCGCGCCCGCCCCCCTTGCAAAATGCTCATTGTTTTCCGGTAGGGCGGATGCGCAGGCGGTAGCGTCAAGGTCGCGCGGCTTTGTCGGCTTTCGCCGCCAACCCTTCCGCTTTGCCGAGGCCGAGATATGTGTGTGCTGGGCCATCCGGCCAGTTACCTGGCCACCATCCAGACATCCATCCATCCAACCATCCAACCAACCAATATCTTTTTTCGTCAATGGACGCTACAGCTTCTTGTTTACTTTCAAACTTAGCTTGTAGCAGACGTGTGCACATTTTGAGCATGACGTCTCTGATCCACTGGTAAAAGGACACTTTGATTCTCTCCTCTTTCATCTCGAACTGCTTCAAACAACAAAGCGCCTGCAGGAAAAATGGCAAAGCGCCTGCAGGAAAAGTGGCTAAGATTGCATGACTGCCCGTGTTTTATGTTCTGTTTTGTGTTGTATTATTTTGTTTATGTTATGTTTATGTGAAGAAACCTGCCTTGGGACTACGGCTCAAAACTAGCATTTATGCTAAGTCCGGCGCATTTACACTTTTTATTCATGTGTTGATTAATATGCACTGTCCCAATGAAATAAATAAATAATATAAATCTGGGTCTGAGTAGAAAACAGAGTGGCTCATCTGTAGATGACAAAATAATTAATAAATAAATAAATATCTCATTCTAATAATAATGTTCCGATTTTTTTAATGCTCTTTTTTTAATATATTATATTCTTATTATAATTGTATTTATTTAAAGATTATATAAATATAAATTGATTGAATATTTATTATATAATGTATGATGACATAACATATTATATATTATATATTGTATATATTATTTAACTCAGCCCTAATATACCAATTCAATGCGATGGAAAGTTTTTGAGAAGGAATTATCTAGGTCCACTATATCCTGTAAAGCTCCCCATACTGTA